TGGCTAAGTCATAAAAATCTCCTACCTGATTTTCTTACTGAAATATTTGCATATTTGGAAAATAATCTCGTACCTGGTTTTCTTACTGAAATATTTGCATATTTGGAAAATGAAGCACATACAAAAGATTATTTAAAAAAATGTTTCATTAGTATTTGATTCGATGAGCATAAGAAAAAAATTAGTGTATGATAAATTATCAGATAAAATACGTGGATATGTAGATTATGAAGGTATTCCTACAGAAGATTCAAAAGAATTAGCTACTGAAGTATTGGTGCTATTAATTGTTTCTTATACGGTAAAATTTAAATGTCCAATTGCTTTTTTTTACAAATAAAATGCCATCAGTTGTACAGAGCGAAATTATACAGCAAGCAATAATCAAACTAGCAGAAAAAGGCATCACTGTCCGCTCAATTACATGCAATGGTGCAAAAAGCAATTTAAAAACGTTACAATTGCTAGGATGTAATTTTAATTTTAATAATTTCGTAAATATGGATTCTATGAACATTCCATGCATTATACATCCCAAAGAATATAAATCGAATATGAAACAACATTTTCATCAAGAAGCATCAACAGAAAATATAGATTTAAATGTACAAAATGCGCTTTGTCCGAAGAATGAAAAACAATATTCTTATTTGCAAACAGCATTTCAACATTCTTTATCTGTTTCATATATTTACAGTATATTAGACTTTTCACATATGATTAAATTATGTCGTAATACGTTCGCAGAATGCAAAATTACATATGAAAATCGGGAAATATCTTTTGCATATATTAGGAAATTACATGACATTCAAGAAAAAAAGATTTGAAATTAGCAAATAAATTAGGTAATGCACATATACATTATTTTAATAAAAAAATGAACGTTTCACTTGCATCTCAAACAATAAGCAGTAGTGTTGCTGATGCCATCGATTATTTAAGGAAAATAAAAACTTTAGGATTTGAAGACAGTGATGCCACAACAGAATTCATAAGAATATTTGATAAACTGTTTGACATGTTAAATGCTAGAAGTTGTTTTGGAACGAATTTCAAGTCGCCCATGACTCCTAAAAATTTGGATTATTTTATAAATACTTTTAACAATAATATTCTTTACATTTCCAAATTAAGAATTGACGGAGTTCCTATTTTTCATCATCGAAGATCAACATTTGCAGTAGGTTTTATAATAAATATGTATAGTATGATCAATTTAGCAAAGGATTTATTTTCTAAAGTTAATCCATTACGTTTATTTTTGCCGTATAAATGCTCGCAAGACCATTTAGAACTTTTCTTTTCTTGCGTAAGAGCTAGAGGGGGTTGGAATAATAATCCTGACTGCTTACAATTCATATGGATTATACGAAAACTTTTGTTTTTAAATATTGTTAAAAGTAGTATTAGTGCAAATTGCATTGATGATAACACTGCAATGCCTGCTATTTTTAAGTGCAAAACTAAAACCAAAGAGAACTCTGAAGCTTTTGATTGTAATGATTTTAAACGTATAACAAATATAATTCAAGCTATGGAGAATATTAATATATCATTTATTCAGCAAAATATTTTATATTATATATCTGGTTATATTGTTCGGGGTTTAATAAAAAAAATAAAATGTGATGATTGTATTGCAATTTTAACTAATACAAATAATAAGACTTATGAACATAATTATTGTTAAGAAATATATTCAGAATCTTCTTTTATGAAATTAATTAATCGTGGTAAATTATATTTACCATCTGCAGTTGTTTATAATATAATACTATTTGTTGAAAAAGCTTTTAAAGCTGAATTAAATGTGCAATCTATGAACGTAAACCATTTTGAAGCTAATATTATTCGAACTACTATACAACATTATATTCCAATAGCTATGTCTTTATTCAAACCACAACATCCTGTAACAGATACTGCAGGAATGGAGGAACTACATGAAATACAATTAATAAGAGCTATAACATCATTATATATTTTTATTCGTATTTCTAAATATAATAAAAATATGACGGAACGAATTTTGAATAAACTTGTTAATAAACGTAGTAAACTTTATAAAATCATTTTATTTTATAACATTTGATTATTTTATTATAGTTTTATTACAGTCAAAAGCTTTTGAGACATACATAATGTTACAGCATGTTAAATATTTTATATTTCTAAGCAATTGGATTATTTTGTAATGTATTTTTTTGGACTGGCTTAATAATCCTTATATAGTGATATTTGTTACTTTACGTGCAATCTTTTAAACCAAAGAATGAACTTAAAAATAATTTTATTTTATATTTATAAGATATTTATTTTTCATTTAAGCTGCAGATATGATATTATTTTTAAGATTGTTCTGCTCAGTATTTTATTTATGTTTTTGTGTTTTATGATGTATATATGTTGTGACGTTGCCGTCATGACGGACGTCCACCCGCCAAAAAGACTGCGTGACGCGAGCCGAGCGGCCGCGCCGGTCGAGAGATCGAGAGCCCCGCCGGGATTTTCAGAGAGGCGAGCGCGTTCGTTTATAAACAAAAGCTTTATTCTTAATTCTATTTGTCTAAACTGTATGATTTTGGGAGCAATAAATCATCGGCGGCGATACCGAAGAACAACCTGGAAGCCTATAAGAAAAGCGACCTTGCCGAATCATCACCGACCAAAACAGTGGCCGTGAAAAACAAGGGTCGGCGATACTCGAGCAGCCTCGCACAATTTCGGTCCATCGGCCCAGCATCCCAGGGTCGGCCAGCAATGACGGGCGCCGAAAGCACCCCGCGAAGGAGCTAAACCTTCTCGGAAAAATCCGGAAAAGCCGCTGCCCTCCGCTGGAGAGAGACAAAGGCCGCAAAGAGCGGCCCGGACGGGAGATTTCCCGAGCACCTGGCGCGGAAAAATGCGCCGGAACAGCGGACCATCGGAGGCGCGGGACCGCGGGCGCACGATGCGCCCTTGCGCCACGCTCGAAAATTCGAGCGCGCGGGAACGGGCCTATCACCTCTCTTGATGGGTTGCGGGGCGATTAGTTAAGGATAAATAGAACGATTCCGAGAGAATGAGAAGACTTGTTCTGCGAGAGTTTCGAAGAAATTTAAAAGAGAGTATCGCGAACGCTCGGCACAGAAAAAGACGATGTGGCGGAAGCAACGAGAGACGAGTTCAACGGTGAGGTCACCCGGCTATCTTGAGTTTTATTTCGGAAATTTGTACGTCGTTCACCGGTACGGCTCGCGAGTCGACCCCTCTGGCCGGTCGCGATTAGTGTTTCGTTTGCGTAAATTTCGCGGTAGTGAAAAGAAGTCGAGTGCGACCGTAGTCAAGGGGCGACAGTGATCCGTCGATCGGTCTCACCCGATATACTCGTTCGCCTCTCCGTTATCCGTGTGACGCGCGTTAAGTGCAGAATTTTTACCTCGAGGCTATCGCCGGTCGGAGTGGAGCGACTCCGACCGATTGTAAGTGCTGTCGACCGCCACCCCAGGGAAAAAGTTCCGCGACAGTTTGAGCGGCGAATTGGTGAGTACCTTGGAAATTGTGACAGCAGACCGGAAGTTGCGCGATCAACACGGGCCTCGATTCTCGACCATCTCTCTCTACGTGCGTTCTGTTTTCTGGCGACTCGCCGCCCGCTGACCGCGGACGTGCGAACAATCGGCTGTCGGAGGCGTAAGCTGTCGACACCCGCCGTGCCGCGTGTGCACCGGCGGGAACGCCTTATCGTTGCGACACGCGAATTTCGCGTTCCGATCGACCAGAGATTGCCGTTCTTGCAGTAGGTTACATCGTCGTGGCGTTATCTCTGGTTACGTTATACTGCAATTAAATAAAATAAAGTATCAAACGTGCATTTCCGTTTTCGATAATTCTAGGATCTTGTATTTCTTTCTGTTCTGCGTACTTGTAATAGCGCGCTTCGTTCGGTTCTCCGAAATCGTAAGCGCTCGCGCGCTTCTTCCCGTTCTTCGTAATTGCAAAAGCTCACGCATTTCTTTCAGTTCTCAGTACTTGTAATATTCGGGACGCTTCTCTCTATTCTCCGTAATAATAGAGTTTCGTGCATTCGAGTCTGTTTACCGTAATTATAAAGCCTTGCGTATTTTACTCGGTTTACCACTATTATACCGTCTTAGCTTTCTTTTCGATTAGTTACCTCGAGCGAACATTTGCGGTGAATCACGTCTCATTATTCCGGTTATTTTCGATTGTATTTTATACTTCATTTGGTTGTCGTCAATCGAAGTATTGCGAACCTCGTTTCGATCTGACTTGTCATTCGATTGGACTTTTATATTTTTCTTTCATTGGTTATTTCTTTATTAATAAATCTGTTATATTGTCTAGTTAAATTCGCGTAATTTATTTGAATGTTCGTCCCCTGTGATCGTAGATATCCGTTACTGTGTCTCTCGCGCATCGAATTAATTAATCGGCTCGCTCAAAGAACCCCTCCCCTCTACCGTTAGGCGAGCTAGTCAGCCCGTGGCGAAGGAGGCTATCACCTTTCGCGCTGTTTAAAAATTTCGTAGAAAAGAAAACTGATGCGTGAAAGACCGCATTTGGCGCCCAACCTATCGAGATATCGAACTGCCTCCGCTCCGCCGCGGCCCGCGCGAGCACCCTTCATCCCTGTTCCTCCGAGCGCGGAAATCATATATTCCTCCTGTGTTTGACGGCATTCTATCCGACCAAAATTAGAACAACAAAGAAGGAGAAAAACGTCGCAATGTATATCGTTATTAATAATATATGTTCCTTCTTCTCTCCCATTGTCCGTGCGATAGTGAACACGTGTAGTACGTAGCGCGTTTCAAATATATTTTACATTGTAATATTAATATTGGTCGTCATTCTGGACACCCGATCCTTTATTATCCCCACAGAGGGAAATAATTGGTGACCTCGACGTGATCGGTGACAAGCAACGAACGCCGCAAGACGGCTAAGAAAAGGCTTAATCTAATTTACGCGATCGAGCACGTGGCACAGTCGCGATGTCCGTACACCGCTCACCGCCTCAAAGCATACACGGCGACGAAGAGGCGCCTGAAAATGCGCGCAGGGATGACCCACTGCGAAATAGGTACGGAGCAATATCGAGGGCCGAGACCGAGACACCTGAAGAAACTGGGATTTATAGCGCCAAGTTGATCAAGTTACCGCCATTTTGGCGAGATAACCCGACACTCTGGTTCATGCAGGTAGAAGCCTCCTTTACATTATCAAGAATCACGAGCGATGATAGTAAGTACCGTTACGTATTGGTCAATCTAGATACTACCGTATTACCGTTCATGTCAGACATCGTAACCTCCCCGCCTGCAACGAACAAGTACGACGTACTGAAACGGAGAATCATCGACGCGTTCGGTAAGACGAGCGAAACAAAACTGCGAAGACTGCTACGTAACCACGAGTTGACGGACGACAAGCCATCTAATTTTCTGCAAAAATTACGTAATTTAGCAGGAGTTCAGTGCAGCGACATTGTTCTACGCACGTTATTTCTGGAACAACTACCAGACAACGTACGTAGTATTTTAGCAATCAGCGAGGTAGGCGATTTATCCAAACTAGCGTTACAAGCAGACAAGGTTTTAGATATGTCAAAGATTAACATAAGCCAGGTCTGTCTTAGCACAAGCAATGCATCAAACGCCAGGAAACCCGAATCTACCTCTGAGATCACAGAGCTGAAAGCCTCAGTAGAAGCCCTAGCGAAGCAATTCAAGAAACTTCAAACTGGACGGCGGAGAAGCCGAAGCAGATCAAGGAATAGACCTCACTACCGTAACAAGTCACCAGCAACAAAAGAGCATAGAGGTACCGATATATGTTACTATCATACTAGATTCGGCAAGGAGGCTTATCATTGCTTAACGCCATGCAAGTGGAAGAAAGAGGACGCGGAAAACTAACTGCGTCGTCTGATATGGCGGGTACCACGACGCACATTCACCCCGCTTCACAATAACAGATAAAGAGAGTCGCATACGTTATCTTGTAGATACGGGAGCAGATGTGTCCGTCCTACCAAAAAACCTAGTCAAAGGCAAAATTACGGCAGGTAATTTTAGGTTATACGCCGCTAACAACACGCCTATCATCACCTACGGAACGAAACTAGTCAAATTGAGCCTAGAATTAAGAAGAAGCATCAAATGGACATTTTTAATATCAGACGTCAAACAGCCTATCTTGGGAGCAGATTTTTTAGCTCATTATGGACTGTTAGTCGATCTTGGACGAAGGACACTCTTGGATTCAACAACTAAATTCGAAATAAGTGGAAAGTTATCAACAACAAAAATAAAAGAACTTACTACCTTCAGTCCAACTAGTCCTTTCGTCGATCTCTTACGGGAATTCAGTGCGATAACCAATCCGGTAAGCCATATAGAGTACAAACCTAAGCATAACGTAGCGCATTACATTGTTACGACAGGCCCACCAGTAGCAGAGCCAGCACGCAGGCTAACAGGAAAAAAATTAGAAATGGCGAAACAACAATTCCAGCATATGTTAGATGCTAACATTTGCCGACCGAGCAACAGCCCGTGGGCAAACCCACTTCATATGGTGCCGAAGAAGAATGGAGATTGGAGAATCTACGGAGACTACAGACGCCTCAACAGGATAACAGTCCCAGACAAATATCCAATCCCACACTTGCACGATTTTGCACACAGCCTGAGCGGATGCAAAGTGTTCACAACACTAGATTTAGCACGCGCATACCACCAAATCCCATTAGCAGACGAGGATCGCCCGAAGACAGCCGTCATAACACCCTTTGGCCTCTACGAATACAACGTGATGCCTTTTGGTTTAAGGAACGCCGCGCAATCATTCCAAAGGTTGATGGACAACACACTTCGTGGACTGGACTTCTGCCATTGTTACATAGACGACATACTTATTGCATCTCCGGACATGGGAATACACCGTAAGCACTTACGTTTAATTTTCGAACGACTACAATAATACGGCCTTTCCATCAACGTTGTTAAATGCAACTTCGCCAAAAACAAGGTCAGTTACCTAGGCTACGTAATCAACGAGCAAGGAACTCAACCGTTAGACGATAAGGTTAAAGCCATTAAAGAATTCGAGAAACCAACGAATGTCAGCGAACTTCGTCGTTTTCTAGGAATTATAAACTTTTACAGACGTTTCATGCCAAATGCAGCACAAATACAAGCACCGCTCCATCAATATCTTCAAGGAGCAAAGAAAAAAGACAAACGCGCAATCCAGTGGAACCCAGAAACAGAAAAAGCTTTCGACGAATGCAAGCAGCAACTAGCACATCCAATTACAGACGCAAGCTAGCTTTAAAAACTGACGCATCAGATACAGCGATGGGAGCAGTATTGGAACAATATAACGAAGGAACATGGGAACCTCTTGGCTTCTTTTCTAAGAAACTCAGTACAACACAAAAAAACTACAGCACATATGACAGAGAGTTGCAAGCTATATACAGTGGACTAAAGTTCTTCCGTCAACTAGTCGAAGGACGCAAGTTACTGATCAAAACAGATCACAAACCACTTACTTACGCATTCTTGCAGAAATCCTCCAAATCCACGCCAAGACAGACAAGACAGTTGGACTATATAAGTCAATTCTCCACGGAAATAGTATATATCAAAGGAGACAACAACACAGTAGCAGACGCATTATGACGAATAAGTGCAATCGACATGCCGATCATCGTTACCACAGAAGAATTAGCGCAAGAACAAGAAACTGATGAAGAACTGCAGAAAATACTACAAGAGAAGAAACTAACTCACTCCAATTGAGGAAACTCCGCCTTGACAACACCGAAACTACCATCTACTGCGACATCTCACAAGAAAAGTACGGCCATACGTACCAGTAACATTACGAAAACGAATATTTGACAATACACACGGACTATCCTCATCCGAGCGGACGCACGACGAAACAACTAATAAGTCGACGATTTGTTTGGCCCGGTATGAACAAGCACATTAACGAATGGCAAGAACTTGTCCACCATGTCAAAGGAACAAGATACACAGACACAACAGAACCGCTCCAGAACACATTCCAATTCCTAATACAAGATTCAATCACATACACCTGGACATCCTGGGACCACTACCCACTATCCAGGGATATCGTTACTGTGTTACCATAATAGACAGATGCACAAGATGGCCGGAAGCAATACCAGTGAAGGACATAACAGCAGACACTATCATCGGTGCCTTTTTCGAAGGCTGGATCGCTTGATTCGGCGCACCAGAAACCATCACCACAGATCAAGGTACCCAATTTGAGTCATTACTATTTAAAGCTTTAACAAATTTGATTGGCAGCCAACGTACGAGGACATTCGCTTACCACCCCGCGTCAAATGGAATGATAGAGCGATGGCATCGCTCGATGAAAACGGCAATCCGTTGCCACGAATCGAAAAACTGGTTAGAAGCACTGCCAGTAGTACTCCTCGGACTACGATCCAGTTATAAGGAAGACATAAAATCGACAGCGGCAGAAATGGTATACGGAACCACACTACGCCTTCCAGCAGAATACTTCTACGACGAACAAACGCAACCAAATCCATACATTTTTGTAGAACGTTTTAGGGAACAAATGAGAAACGTCAGACCTGTGGAAACAGCACACCATACCAAAAGACGAGCTTTCACACACGGAACACTACAAAACTGTACTCATGTTTTTGTAAGAGTTGATCGAGTCAGAAGGCCACTAGAAGCACCCTACGAAGGCCCGTTCCTGGTAATGGAGAGACTGACAGACCGCCTATACAAAATACAAATCCATGGAGAAGCGGTAAATATATCAATAGAGAGACTGAAGCCAGCACATATAGAAACACACGCCACAACCGGAAGCCAGCCAACGGAAGTAACCGAAGTCAAAACCACAACCAGGACACTCAACAAAAAAGTCAAATTCGTAACTCAGCATTAGCTGAGTCACTCGAGAGGGAGCCCTGTGGCGACCAGCTAGGGGAACAACAGTCACACTCAACAGTTGGCAGAATTGTATAAGCGCGCAGCGCCACTCGAAATAGAGAGAATTCCTTCTTCTCTCCCATTGTCCGTGCGATAGTGAACACGTGTAATACGTAGCGCGTTTCAAATATATTTTACATTGTAATATTAATATTGGTCGTCATTCTGGACACCCGATCCTTTATTATTCCCACACCGTAGAATAAGGTTGTAAGGCGTAAGATTCAAGAAATTGACCAATCACAGATAAGAGAAATCAGATATTAAGAGAAACCAATCAAATATTAAGAGAATACTCGACTGTGATTGGTCAATTTCTTGAGTTTTATGTCTTACAAGCTTATGCTACGGTCATGCAGATGAACCTTTAATACCGATTTACAACAGATAATTTAAGCCTATACCTTAAGAAATTGTCCAATCACAGCCGAGCATTGTCTTCATAAGCCGCGTTACGAAATTATCAGTATACTGCAAATTCTATAGTGCACATTACGTATATTATATATTTTCAGTGTTGACAGTAAACTGGCAGCAATTTCGGAACAGGGCCATACTTGACTGTGATTGGTCAATTTCCTGAAGTTTACGCCTTATGCGACGGCCGTTGTACACGACTCTTGAAGTGTCGTCTACACTGAGATTTTAAAGAGACTTAAGGCAGGATACCACCTTTGTACTTTCAAAAAATCGAAAATTTTTTTTTTGGCTTAAAGTACTCTTTCAAGTGTATAGAATCGAAATTCATTCATTAGAAAGGTGACTGAAACCTTTTTCTAGTGTTATAAGCCGGTTTGGAGCGAGCGCTCTCGGCGCGTTTCTCGGGCTGCCGAGCGCGCACAGACAGACTACTACCTGTCTCATCCTACTACTTGTCAATTTACCGACCTAATTATTGTCCCTTTTAGTTCCAAATAGTGAAGTATATGTCGCTAATTACTTTTTTCATAATAATATGACATATACTTCTATGTTTTATATAGTTCATAACGAATTAGTCGTGTAAACATTCACGTGTTGCTTGGTTTTGTCTTTCACAAGTTTCTTTCGAACGTTTATTCATTGTTCATCATGGGGAAGACAAAAGTAGTGGAGAAAAAAGGGACAAGAGGAGGAATTAGTCGTGCCTCGAAACCGAGAAGCAGTGGAAGGAAGCCGCTGAATCGATACATGTTAGAAATAGAAAGTGAGAGTGTCAGTACATCGGCAAAGAAACTGAAACTTAGTAAACATGAATATCATATTAATGTGGACGCAACTTTTGGTTATCGTGTGATCAATTTTGTAAACTGTTTTTGCAGCAATTTCTGAATTTCTAGTGTGCAAAGAGTGTAAATCTCCCATAAAGTTTCAAGAAGCAAGTATCCGTGGATTGGGTTTTAAAATTGCAATTCTTTGTGAACAATGCACACCGAAATATATAAACTCGTGTCCCGTCATAAACAATCACGCATATGATATAAATCGTCGTATAGTTTTGGCTATGCGATTGCTCGGTGTTGGTGTAAATGGCATTAAAAAATTCTGTGCATTCATGTGTTTACCAAATCCAATATTCCAGTCATTTTATGACAAAATAGTTTCGACTATTTCTATTGCTACCGCAGCCGTACGAGAAAAATCAATGAAGAACGCAGCTGCTAAAGAGAAAGAATTGTCAGTACAGAAGGGACTCGCAGAAGGGATAGTAGTTTCCGGCGACGGTACATGGAAGAAGAGGGGATTCTCGTCTTTGTTAGGCGTTACATCATTGATAGGGTGGTGCACCGGAAAAGTCATTGATGTTAATGTAAAGTCGAAAATATGTAATCAATGCAATTATTGGAAAAAAAAGAAGGAACGGCAGAATATGAAGAATGGGCTGAGACACACAAAGATAGCTGTCAAAAAAATCACGAGGGATCGGCAGGAAAAATGGAGGTTGACGCAGTAATTCAAATGTTCCAACGATCCGACAATGCTCCAACGAGAAGAGCTCCACGGTTTGAAATATAGTCACTACGTAGGAGATGGAGACAGTAAAACATTTAAAGGTATTTTAGATTTGAATCCATATGAAAATTTGGACGTCAAGAAAAAAGAATGTATCGACCACATTCAAAAGAGGATGGGAACGTGACTTCGGAATTTGAAAAAAAATGTACGAGGTCTTGGTGGCAAAGGCAAACTAACCGGAAAATTAATTGATGATCTATCATTATATTTTGGTCTGGCAATACGTCGAAATCATAATTCAATTGTTGATATGAAGAAAGAAATATGGGCCACGCTTTATCACAAGATTTCCACGGACGACAACCCGCAGCACGATAGATGTCCAGATGGCGAAAATTCCTGGTGCTCGTGGAAAAAGGCTAAATCTCGCAACGAACTCGTCAATTATCAACACAAATCAGCAATGAAAGACGAAGTTTTCAATGCTGTTAAATCCATTTATGAAGAACTCAGCCAGGATGAACTATT